GTGCTATTTTTGAGTATACTAGTTTTATTTGGCAGGAATGTTTAAGTGTATCCCTTTAGATAGCAGTGCACCTTCCTTTAGAGTCCTTGCTGTTATTCATTATATTCATAGCTGCTGCACACATCTGCTTATCTGGCCCCTGAAGGCATTTTACCTTCCTTTAAATTATAAGATAGTAATTTAATTTCTTATATTGTTGGGCCAGGGATTTAGCTCAGTGGTTCTGGCTCCTGCCTCACAAGCTCAAGGTCCTGAGTTCGGTCCCTAGTACCGAAAAAAAAAGACATTATAATTTCTTACATTGTTTGGATTTTAAAGGTACTAGTTATGTAAAGTTAAAAGTAGAAATAATAAAGTCATAATATTGTTCGTGTTATTCTTTTGTATGAATGTCTATTAGAAAGTAATACTTTTTTGTGAATGAAGTTAATTGGTCAAGGCATTTTCAATTATAATGGAGCAAAAAATGGAAATTGAAAAGAAAGTATGAAATGTAGAGCTCTACCTTTCAGACCTACAAAGTAACTGATTAACTTAGAATTTTGTAATAATAGTTGGAGAGTTATGTAATTTTAAAGTTTTAAACTCTGTCATAAAAAGTTGATTTTTGAGGGCCGGGGATCTAGCTCAGTGGTTCTGGTGCCTGCCTCGCAAGTGCAAGGTCCTGAGTTCAATCCTTGGTACCAAAAAAAAAAAAAGAAAGTTGATTTTGTTTATGTAGTTAAATTTTTTTTGGTACCTGAGATCGAACTCGTGTCCTTGTGCTTGCAGGGCAGGCGGCGGAACACTGAGCTAAATCCTCGGCCCTTATATAGTTAAATTTTAATTCAACCAATATAAAAGCTATATATATTCTCTGGAATTTATGAATTAAATAAATATATGTATATTCAACATATATGGTATATAAGAAGATATAAATAGTGTTTATACTAGAAATATATTTTAATACTATTAACCTGACAAATGAAATCATGTAAATATATTCACATTAGTAGCCTGGAAATTAGTTAGAAAATATAATGGAAGTGGTTTCATTCATAACAACAACAGAAAAATAAATGCTCTTTAAAATGAGTTTTAAAAGAAACTTAATGAAACTTTTACAAAGAAATACTATAAAACTCCACTGAAGGTTATAAAAGAGACTTGAATAAATAGAAAAACATCCTATACCTACTGGGATAGGAAAACTCAGTGCTATACCCTGTAGATATTTGTTAGAGAGGAAATAGTTTTTTTTTTTTTTTTGGTTTTTTTGGTACCGGGGATCAAACTCGGGACCTCTTGCATTTATGTGGCAGGCGCCAGAACCACTGAGCTAAATCCTCGGCCCCTAGGAAGTAGTTTTTAACCCTGAGCTATACCTGGTTTCAAGAGGAGTAAAAAGTAAAGCCCAGGTCCTCTGCAAGTGGGATCTTTGGTAAATTACTTCTTGTTTTAAACTGACATGTTGAAACAAAAGTGTGGAACCATGTATAATACAGTCCTCTTTAAAATTTTTTTTTATTTTATGAAAAAATTAAAATTTCATAAATAATGGAACAATAGTTATTTCACTGTGTATTGTTATCCTAAAAGTAGTTACTCTGAGTACAAGACTTAAACCAAAAAGATTCTTAAAAAAAAGAAACAGATAACACAAAACTCTTGAATTTGCATTCTGACCTTATGCCTGTTAATGGGCTAACCTAGATTAAGTGACTGAACATTGATTAACATATGTAGACTGGTCTTTTGGTACAGAGTGAGAGACATGGATCAAGTAATTTAGTACAGCCATTTTGGAAATCAGTGTGGAGATTTCTCAATAACCTGAAAATAGAAATTCTGTTTCACCTAGCTGTGCTTCTCCTGGCTATCTTCCCAGAAGAACTAAAGTCATCCTACCACATCAATACAGTGGTAACTTGGTTCACAGATGCTTTTGTTTGCAGACAATTTGGTTCACAAACAGAAGCAATTGGCAGAATTTTGTTTTTCTTTGTGAACTCTGCATCAGAGGACAAACACGACCGCGGCCATCTTTCCCACATGAACATGCCCATCTTTTCCAGAGTCGTGGAACAAATTAAGTTTGTGAACCATGATACCAGTTACAAAATATGCATGGCTATGTTTACTCACAATAGCTGAATCAGGGAAATGGCCTATATGCCCATCAGCAGGTAAATGGATGAAGAAAATGTGGTATTTACATACAATGGAGTGCTACTGAGCCACAAACAAGGACATTATGACTCATTTGTAGGAAATTGGATGGAGCATGAGATCATGATCCTAAATAGTATGTCAGTCCCAAAAAGCTAAATATCCCATGGTACAGTTTAACATGTTCACAACGAGGTTATATATGCATGATTGTCCCGTATTCATGGCTTGCACCGCTAGTGGTTAAAGCTGGTAGGAACATGTTAAAGAGCAAAATAATGAGCCATGTTAAGAAATAGGGAGGTGGCTCAGTAGAAATGGGAAAGGGATCTAGGAAGGGAGAGAGGAAAGTGGGGGCAATTGTGGAGTAAAAATTATCAAAATGTGATATGTGTATGTATCAAACCCCCAAGCTGAATATAATCACTGTATCACAAACATACACTAACTAAACAAAAGATATGTAGACTGTCCCCAGATATGTAGATATAGCCCCAGCTTTCTGGACAAAACAAACTCCTCTAGAAAATAGGCATCATTGTTCTATACCTAAAGTGAATCATATAATAATGTGGGTTTTTAAAATATACAATGTTCAGGTCATATTCAGATGTATACATATACACATAGCACTAAATTCAAGAAGCAGCAGAAAATCTTGAGATGCAGAAATTATCAAATAGCAAGAAAGCCACCAGGCTTTTCTTAAGTTGAAAAAATAAAAAGCAAAGATCAACACATAATAGTAGGAAACTGGAAACTATAGTGACATTGCAGATTTGAAAAAGAACTAAGTAGGAGTTTATAATTGCAAAGTAAAATATCTGAAGTTAATATAGCATACAAACTCATATTGGACAAAGCTGAAACGAACATTAGTGCATCAGAAGATGTGCAAAAAGGAACATGGAAGAGGAAAAATATGGAAAATAATGAACAGAAAAAAGGGTAAGACAGAATACAGTGAGGAGAGCTCGTCTGTCTTTGACTAGACTCCCATACATGAAGGATGGACAAATAGACCAGTAGAAGAGAAGAAAGTCCCAAAACAGGTCCATGAATACTTAATTTATAACAAAGATGACATTGTTTATTATGTGAAATGGTAAATATTTTCAATAATTGGTGCTTGGACAATTGAGTGTTCAGGTAGCAAAAAAATTGGGGTGATGATAAACAAAAATCAATTACATGTAGATCTAAATATGAAGGGCAAAACATTTAGAAGATAATGTAAAACATCTTGATGTTTGGATAGAGGGAAATTTCTTTAAGACACAAAATTACTACAGTTGAGAACTATGGTAAGCAAAAACCAGCATTAAAGAGTTATACAAGGGGAAAAATATTTGCAGTATATCCAGCAAACAACTTTTATCTAAAATATATTGAGACCAAAACAAAGCTGTAAATCAGTGAGAAAAAGGCCATTCCCGTAATAAAGTGGACACAATGTTTTAACGCTTTAGCAAAGATGGAACTCAAATATTAAAAGTATTTAACCTCATTAATAGAGAACTTGATATTTATTAGTTTTGTTTATAAAATGACAAATTATATTCAGTCTAAATGCCAGTAATAGAACGCCATTTCGTCTTAATTTAGAATTATGTTAATAAGTTTATAATATCTAAAAAGTTTGCAGAATATCCCTTTTTGTTAAAGCTACATATACCTGTATGAGTCTGTGTTTATGATAATATACACAGAATAAAGTCTATAAATACTAATTGAGAAAGTAACTTTACATGGTTGATGATACTTAAATGTAATCATGTATCTTTTTAAACTTTTTTATGTTTTCCAATGTTTCTAAAATAAGCATGTATATTTTTTACTAAATACATAATTATATGTAATGTATATTATATAATAAAAGAAAATTATCAAAATATGGCAGTGTATCCATTTCTTCATTACAGGAGTTGCATTTCTATTTTTTATTAAAATTTTCATCAGGTGACTCACTCCTTAGTGTTAAACATGTGCTTATACATATAGGTATACAGCAATAAAAAAAAAATGTGGATAAGTATCAGTAGTCTAAAGAAGTAGTTCAGGACTGAATGACCATTATCTTTCCATTTTTTTTTTTCACTTAAATTGGTCCTTTTTTTTTTCTTTCAGTTGCTTTCTCTTTTTAAGATTCCTTTTTTCTTATTTTCTGTAATGCTTTTAGGATATTTAAATGTCCTTAATGTTTTCTTCCTTTCCTGTTTTTGTTACAGTTTTGAATTTAGAGAGAGAGTTTAGAGCTTTTCAGAGGTACACTATAAAAATTTTAAAGTAGACTATAATAATTTTTTTATCTTTAGGATCTTAAATTTCCTTAAGATTTATTCTTACAATTTCTGAAATTTTTCATTAAAAATGAACCTTCTCTAAATTAATGAACATGTTAACTTGCAAAATGACATAAGGCACGTGGGTTTTAACAAGGAGATATGTTTTTGGGGCTTTGTTGTATGTTTTGTTTTGTTTTGTTTTGTTTTTCCAGTACCAAGGATCAAACTCAGGACCTTGCACTTGTGAGGCAGGCACAGCACCACTGAGCCAAATCGCTGGCCCTGTATGTTTTGTTTTTAGTTTGTAGGGGGTGTTGTTGCACAGATTTCTAAAATATGATATTCCGTGTTTTGCCACCACATCTAAGAGATGCATTTTAAGTTCATTGTACTAGTTAGCTCACTTATGTATATGTATATGCTTTAACTTATAATTGTTTTTAGATTATTGTTCTTTTTATCCTTGGAAGTAGGAGTAAAAAATGTGAATCAACATGCATGTATATGTAAATATACACATACATTCACATGCTATATAAAAATATTGTTCTGGATTTCTTTTAGCCAACAAATGGAATCTTCTTGAGCATGTTTCTCATTGTTTTGCCATTGGAATCCATGGCTCATGGACTCTTCCATGAATTGGGTAACTGTTTAGGAGGAACATCTGTTGGATATGCTATTGTGATTCCCACCAACTTTTGCAGGTACTGTGGTGTAGTATAGTTAAGTGATAGCTACTTGAATCAGTAACATTTTATTATTTACATAATATTTATAATATTTATATGAGTATAAAATATAGCATTTTTAGAATTATGATTTTTTCCAAAGTTTAATGTTTGATTGCATTTTGTTATTCCAGACTTTTAGAAAACTTCATTGGCCCCTTCAGAAGTGTGAGAAATCTGTATGAAACTGTACATATTGCTACATTTTTTTTTTTATAGCTAAGTACCTGTAAAATAGAAAAAATAGTTCTTGCTGCTAGTGAATTCTGATAACCAACTTTTCAACATACTTTCTAGGGGAAGAATCTTAAAATTATCTAATTTCAAATATTTGACATAAATTCTCTAAATAAATTTGTAATAAATATTTTCCTCCATGTTAAAGACTTGGTAAGAGTTGAAGATTCTTATGAGAAGTAAAAAAAAGAGACTTGGGAAAAGTCTCAAAGTGAGACATGACAATTCTACAGAAAGAATACATGAAAGAATTTATGCACAATTAGATTTTTGTTCCACTACAATTTGTTTATTGTGTATTCTTTTATTTTTCTTGACTGTTAAATGTTACAAATATGGAACAGAATATTTTAATGAAAACTAAGTGTTCTTAGAATAGTTCGTAGTACATGAACCAAAATTAAAGTTTTCAAAATTCCTGATAGAAATTTCTTTTCTGAATAGGTGTGATGGCCTTTTTCCCCTCAGCATCAATAGTATTTTGTTTCTGCTCATATAAAACATGATGCAGCATCTGTATTAGAATACCATTGTAATTTGTTCCAGGATCATATCTAAGTCTTCAGTTAGTGCTCAGTAGTATAAGGCAAAAGATGTAGGTATTAATAATTGTTTTAAAATGACATTTTTAATAGATAATTTTTTCCATCTTTTATGTGCCTTAAGTTAATAAACCTTGAACCAACTTTATAAAGATTTTTCAACACAGAAATTAAATATATAATTAAAATGTTGCTTCCATATTTTATGTGGTAAAATTTTTTCTCAAGAATAAGTTACAGTTCTTAAAATACTTAGTATGATCTTGCTTTTTAAAAGTCTTGTTCAATATCTGTCAATTAATAAGAAAATAAGAGTTAGAAACAACAGGTAGTGCTATCTACATTTTGGAGATATTCTCCTAGCTTTCAGTTTATTGTTTTATTGATAAATATAATTTTTAAAAATTAAGTTTTGATTTTCCAAGCTTAACTCTTAGCACTATAGATATTTTAGAAAAGATGATTCTTAAAAATCCTTCCATTTAGATAGAAACTGTGTGTTATGATTCTTAATTATTAATGACACATGAGAATATTACATTGAATAATAATTTTTAAACACCAAAATAATAGTTTTTTTCTTCTTCTTTAGTCCTGATGGTCAGCCAACACTGCTTCCACCAGAACATGTACAGGAATTAAATTTGAGGTCTACTGGCATGCTCAACGCTATCCAAAGATTTTTTGCATATCATATGATTGAAACCTATGGATGTGACTATTCCACAAGTGGACTGTCTTTTGATACTCTACATTCCAAACTGAAAGCTTTCCTCGAACTTCGGACTGTGGATGGACCTAGACATGATACATATGTTCTCTATTATAGTGGGCACACCCATGGCTCAGGAGAGTGGGCTCTAGCAGGTAAATCACCTGTGGCAATTTCACTATTGTGAAGATACACATACTCGTGGAAATCTTCTCCATATAGAGATATTAAATTTCCTAGTTTGTCACTTCATGGTGCCCAAGAATATGTGTGACTATTTTTTGCTCTACCATACCTCAGTAAGGTTTTGGGGATTATGTTTCATAGTAATTGGAAAAAATCTGCTTGATTTGAGATGTTTGATTTCAGTTTCCTTTTAAAATATTTTCAGAGCTATTGAATACAATTTTTTTAGAAGCTGCCAAACTTCTTTAACTAGTACTAAGTCTTTAAATACTATAAGATGTATATTTCAATAGGCCTTCACATATATAGTTTTATTTAGGTTAGAAAGCTCACTAAACAAATTTTTTGAGATAGGACAGGGTCTTACTATGTAGTCCAGGCTGGCCTCCAACTCACTTTCCTCCTGCCTCAGACTCCTGAGTGCTGGGATTACGGGAAATGCCACTATGCTCAGATGATCACCAGAATTTTAAACTGTAGGCATTGTTATATAGTGGGAGTGATGCAAGATTATGAGACCTTCACTTGTCCCCTCATTGCTACAACAATGTTATTCTAGGCAAGGTACCCCTTTTCAGTTTTCTCATCTGTAAAATGAGTGGACAATATGGAATGATCATTGAATTTCATTGTAACGTATAAAATTATAAAGGCCGGGTGTGGTGGCATACACCTGTAATCCCAGCACTCAGGAGGTTGAGGCAGGAAGGATTACTGTGAGTTTGAGGCCAGTTTGAACTACATAGCAAGACTCTGCCTCAAAAATATAAAATAGAATAAAATTGTATAGCATTACTTTGGACTTTTTAAAAATACTTTTAATCTGTTGAAAAAAAACATAAAATAACTTCGGTTTATATACATTATGGAAATAAAGAAAGCACTGCCAAGAAGAAAATGAAGTCGTTTTATAATACTCTATATAAACTTGTTTGTCCGCCCTCTCAACTGCAATAGAGATCCCATAAGTAAAGGATTTTGTTTTATAAAGTATTATGTAGAATAGTCTGGAGCATAGATGGGATCCTTAAGCTATTTATAGGTGGATGAAAACAATGAATAAATCATGAAAAAAGGAACATGATTATTTTATATTAGAAATAATTCATTTAAATTTAGTTATAGCCTACCTTTTCTATAAAAGATTTTAGGTGTTTTAAACCAAGAACACACAATATAATAATAAAATAGTCAAAATATAAGTAGAAACATGTATTTTTCAGGCCAAAGAAATGTAAGTATAAAAAGAACAGAGGCCAAACTGCCAATATAAGAGCTCCAGAAGGAAACAAACTCAAGGTTAAAGCAGAGATGACTTTAAACCAGCATGACCTCATTGATTTCATGCCAACTCTGTAACTAGGGTTTTCTCATAAAGAAAATTTTATTTGCAATTTTTCTATTTTTAAAATAAATATTGAATAATTCAAGGGCTGATTAGAAGGACTAATCTAATATTTACTAGGCTCATTTTAAGCCTCAGATACTGTGCTTAGTACTTTGTAAACAGTATTAGATTTCATGTTCATATGAAATCCTTTGAGACAGATGCCATCATTTCTATTATTTTCACTTTTCAAAGAACGAAATGGAGCTGAAAGTGGTTATGTGAATATCTATCTGTGGCCGTACCCCTAAGTGATAGAACCATGAATAGTAGAGCTGTGACTCAAGCCTAGGTTGGCCTGGCTCCTGAGGTGCATTTTTCCCCTTCTGTTCATGTTGCCACCAAGGAAGAACCCCATGATGATAGAGAAATGGCAAGTTCTGGTGAAGTACTTTTGTTAGCATGGATCACCCATTTTTTAAAAAGTAGAAAGTACAAGAAGGCACTTAACACTAAAACTACATGAACATAGTTTATGAAATCATTTATTTTTAATCACAATGTAGAAATAGCTTTTGAAACTTTATGTTTTCTTCAGTTCCAGGTAAAGTATAACATTCTGGTATACTTTAACTCTGAACACAGAAGAAAAATTTCTAGTCAATCAAAAGTTTTCCAGAAATAAAATTTCAGCCCTAAATCCAGGGACTGCTTATTGAAAATTTACTACAATACTTATAATAAAAACTCTTCTTAAATCAGATGGGGGAAAAAAGGCATAATTTGGTGGTTAATAATATGGCTTTGGAAATAAATTCTAGGCATCAAGCTTACTCATTAGTGTTTATATCCATTTTTTCTTTTCCTAGGAAAACTAAGAGACATCAGGATAAATAATATATAAAGCATGTGCTGATGGCACATGCCTGTAATCACAGCACTTAGGAGGCTAAGACGAGAGGATAACCAGTTCAAGGCCACAGCCTGAGCTAAGTAGCAAGTCTGAGCCAAGCCTAGACTATTTAGTAAGACCCTGTCTTAGAATACATATGTATGTGTATTCTTAAATTTTCATTTGTTATGAAATAGGAATAATTTATAAAGACCTACCTCTACTAAAATAGTGTTATAATTTTAGTAAATACATATCAGTCACATTCTGGGATGATAGCTTTATATATTTAGAAGCATACTACCAATAAATTGACTTACAGAATTCTTCTATTAACTAAGAAAATTTACCCCAGTGTAACTTTGTCAGTTTATTATAAAAAGTAAAAGAGATGATAATAAAAGAAAACATCCCATGATTCAGCAACTACATCAGCTGTCATGCCTGGCCTGTAGCACCTGGCATTAATCTGTTCCAAACCAAGTGATAATTTAAGCTTGATAATTTGTTAATAGTTATCTTTGCAGCAACTTTTGAAGTGAGGAAGCATCATGACTGGATTTTACTTGGGTTAACAATTTAATACTAGGTCTAGAACCGAATATTGCTGTGGAAAATGAGAATCTATATTTGCCTAGCACCCCATATTTTACAGTCTTTCTTAGAATACATACTTTTATATTTATGGAGTTTTATCCTATGTGACCTGATTTTTTGCCTCTTTGCATTAGGGTAAAGGACAATTAGGTAATTATAAGAGAAGCAGAGCTAAATGAAAAATGTACATAATCTATAAAACTATCACAGATAAAGCCTTTAAAAAGCAGTCTCAATTATTTAAAATGCATCAGATAACTGTTATCTCAGATAAATGTAAGTACTTTGTATCTGGGCCAAGGGCCAAACGCAGTGTAGAATCTGTTCATACAAGAAAGGAAAGCAAAACAAAACAAGAGAAGAAAAATCATTTAAAAGGCTTTAATCTGCTGTGCCAGTGTCTGCAGCGCATTTATATTAGAGAATGAGGGTAGAATGTGCTAAAGAATATTGAAGTAGTTGTGGATCATGTTAAGCATTGCTATTTTGTGGTAGATGGAATTTGTGTAATAGCTCTTGTAATCTGTGTCACCCTCTGATCTCTGGAGAAATATCATAGAGCTGGCCGTAATGTAGGTTAACACTCGGCCATCTCTGAAGAAGTGTGATCTTCTGGAGGTGCTGGTGCAGTGACATGTTAGTGCCATGTGGGGACTGTGTGCTGAGCAGTGTCTCTGAGACATTGCCTCACATGGGCATCACTGCTACTTGTAAAACACAGGCTTCATTGTCAGTCTTTGATATAATGGGCCAATAATTAAAGGATTATTAACTCATTGTACATAGAGATTGTGATTTAGCCTGGCTTCTAAGGTCATATCACTAATACAGTCCAAATGATATAAAATTTTCTCTCTCTCTGGTTTTGATACTTTAACAATGGGGGTGATTGCTCTTGGTAGAAATGTAGTATTCTGACGTTAGGTTGTTGGATTCTGTGCTAGTGACTTATAGCATATTAAAACATTATATTATAAAGGTAATATATGTTCGATGTGAGAATTTTGGAAAATTAGATGAGTATTTTTTAAAGCTTTAATTTTTCAAAAATTTTATTGGTACATTTTAGGTATACAATACTGACATTCATCATTGGAAATTTGTACATTAATGTAATGTATCTTGGTTCTTTTTTTTTTTTTTTGCCCTTTCCCCTGCCCTCCCTTCAACCCCTCCATCTCTCCCTTTTTGCAAAGACTTTGTTTCCATTTTTTCATTTTCTCATATTAATTCCATTCCCTTCTTTCTCTTCCCCTACCTCTCCCACTTCCCCTCCTGCTTTGGACCTTTAATTCCTAATTCACATTATCTATTATACATTTTGATCCTTATTTTCACTTTCAGTTTCTCACACCAGAGAAACTATTCAGAATTTACACGTGTGTCCTATTTATTTCACTGAAGAGTGTGGCCTCAATGTGCATCCATTTAGCTATAAATGTCTCTAGTTCTCATTCTTTATGGCTGAGTAGTACTATGTTTCATAAAAAAAAAAAACCACAATATTTTCTTTATCCAGCCTCCAGTTGGTGGGAAATTGGGCTGTTTCCAAGTTTTAGCTATTACAAACTGTAATGGTGCTGGAAAAATTGTGTTTCAACTTGCCACAGATTAAAACTAGACCTATATCTCTCACCATGCACTAAATTAAAATCAGAATGGATTAAAGATCTAAATATTAAAACAGAAACACTAAACTAGTTGGAAGAGAGATTAGGTAGAACTCTTGAAGACATTGACATAGGAAAAGATTTCATGACCAAAACCTCAGTTGCATGTTAACTACGACAAACAACAAGTGGAATCTCTTCTTATTAAAAAGTTTCTGCACAGCAAGAGAAACCACCAACAACGTGAAGAGATAACCCACAATGTAGCAAAACAATTTTACCAGCTGTTCCTCAGACAAAGGTCTACTATCTAGAATCTATAAAGAATTTTAAAAAATCAGACCTCTGAAATTTAAAGACCCAATCCAAAAATGGGCATCTGAAATGAACAGACATTTCTCAGACAAAGAAGTAGAAATAGCAAATAAACATATGAAAAAATGTTCGATATCACTGGTCATTCAAGAGATGCAAATGAAAACAAGACTGAGATTCTACTTCACCCCAGAAAGAATGGCTGCTAACATGAAATCAAGCAATAACAAATGCTGGCACGGTGGGGAAAGAGGAACCCTGCTCCACTGCTGGTGGGAGTGTAGACTGGTGCAACCACTGTGGAAATCAGTATGGAAATACCTCAAAGAACTAGGACTGAAAGTCCCATTTCACCCAGCTATTCCCCTGCTGGGTATCTTCCCAAAAGAATTAAAAGAATCACACCACAGCTATTTGTGTGCACCCATGTTCATAGCAGCACAGTTTGTAATACTGCTGTAATTTTTATAGACACATTTCTATTCTTGCATTTTTTTTTACAAGCATAGACATTTTCTCTTCAATTTTTTGTTTTGCTTTTTGAAACAGGGTTCTGCTATGTAATTCAGCCTGGTCTTGAAGTCACTACATAGCCCAGGCTGGCCTAGAACTCATGGTGATCCTCTTGTCCCAGGCGTGCAACACTATACTCTGTTTACTCATAAATTTTTAAATAAATATTTCATGATAAAATCTCTAAGATTATACCATAATTTATGTCCACTCCCCCTTTTCAGATTTGATAGTGCCTTAGATAGCAGTGAGAAGATCTCTGTAGGCAATTGTTTTGTCTTCATTTCTGTTCTTTTTTTAATATAAATTCCCAGAATTGAATGATTATGTCTCTGTATCATTGAGATAGGGGCAGGACTAGGGTGAGGGAAGGGTAGCTGTTACCAGGAGCACAAAACTGAACAGAGTGGCAGAAAAACTCTGTTGTTGAAATCAGTAATGTTCATTTCTTTGTTTATGACTCAGGGTCTTGCTCTCTATGCCAGGATGCCCTTGAACTCACTATGTAGCACAGGCTGGCTTCAAACTCACAGCAATCCTCCTGCCTCAGCTTCCTGAGTGCTGGGATTATAAGCATGCACCACCATGCCAGGCCAAAATAAGTAAAGTAACATTCCTAAAATTTAAAATCAATGCCAAAAAAACCCAATTCACAGTGAGCCCAGGTTTCCAGGTTAGAAATGTATTTACTGGGAATGTGATGTGGTGGTAGAGCTGTGGGTTCCATCCCCTAACACACCCCAACATACACATGAAATTAGAAATGTGTTTAGACTTCTGGGTATAGTTTTTAAATTCTTTGTCAATCTTCAGGTATAGAACTTATATAATTCCATTCTTAAACTCTTTCTTGTTATATGAAAGAAGAAGTATTTTTTTTTGTCCACTTAGGTACCTGCTTATGAAGATAAGGAAATATTGTATCACGAGTGGTATAAAACAGGGGCCAGCAAACTTTCTTCACAGGGCCAGATATATTTGGCCCTTTAAATTTTGGACTGTAGAATCCCTGTTGCCACTTAGTTTTGGCATTATAGAGCAAAATCCAACGTACAGAGACTGTAAATAGTAAGAGTGGTTATGTTCTAATAGAATGTTATTTATAGAAATACATGAAATTTAAATTTTTTGTAATTATCATGTCACAAAATATTCTGATTTTCTTTAAACTGTGTAAAAATGTAAAGTCAATTCTTAGCTCTTAGGTTCCATAAAAACAGGTGGCAGGTTGGATTTGGCCCGTGGGCTGTAGTTTGCTACCCCAGTATAGAATATTAGCTTTCTGTATAATTTTAATTTAGCTTTAAAGTAGTGCAAAAGCCATTTGTTGTCAGTAGAAAACATACTTTGAATCTGAATTTTGTTCTTTTCCTGGGCTAGCAACTACGCAGTACAATAATCTCTCTAGGGAAACCAGGCAATGTTGGCGAGCTTCAGGTCCCAGTGACCTCTCAGTCCTGAAGGTAAACACCTGCCATTCTACAGTGTGCTGTATTGGTCAACAGTAATGCTTGTTGGTTGAAGTCTATTAAATACATAATCGACTTAACAGTATTTTCAGCTGATGATGAGTTTATTAGAATATAAACTCTGTAAATCAAGAAGCATAAATATGTAAAACAATTTTCTTAAATTACCATAGCATATTCCTTTTTTATGTTAGTAGTAAGGATGGCTTTATAAACTTGAAGATGAAAATCTATCTTTAAAAATATCTTCTGCAAAGACAATTTGAAAGTATCTTTGAGATATTTTCGTATTTTTTGCTTACATGTTTAATTCTAAGAATTTTAAAGAAAATAACTTGCGAGAGAATTCTTAACGAGAGGGTTCAGGAATTGCTCTATTGAACTTTTTCTTGTCCACAGGTGGAGATATACTGCGCCTTGACACGCTTTTAGAATGGTGGAGAGAAAAGAATGGTTCCTTCTGTTCCCGGCTCATTATCATATTAGACACCGAGAATTCAACCCCTTGGGTCAAAGAAGTGAGAAAGGTTAATGACCAGTATATTGCAGTGCAAGGAGCAGAGATGGCAAAGATAGTAGATATTGAAGAAGCCGACCCACCACAGCTGGGTGACTTTACAAAAGATTGGGTTGAATACAATTGCAATTCCAGTAATAACATCTGCTGGACTGAAAAGGGACGCACAGTGAAAGCATTGTATGGTGTGTCAAAACGCTGGAGTGACTACACTCTGCACTTGCCGACAGGAAGCGATGTAGCCAAGCACTGGATGTTACACTTTCCTCGTATTACATATCCACTTGTGCATTTAGCAAATTGGCTATGTGGTCTGAACCTTTTTTGGATCTGCAAGACTTGTTTTAGGTGCTTGAAAAGATTAAAAATGCGTTGGTTTCTTCCTACTGTGCTGGACACAGGACAAGGCTTTAAACTTGTCAAATCTTAATTTGGAACCCAAAGCAGGGTATTATTGAGAGTTCATATTACCAGTTATCACTAACTTGCCATTTTTTTGTATGCTGTATTTTTATTTGTGGAAAATATCTTGCTACTACTGTAGCTGTTCTCACTTTGTCTTTTCTCAAGTAATTACCGGATTTTGGAGGTGTTGGGAATAAGCTTTATTTTACATTAAAAGTATGTAGGAAGTCATCAGTGCTGACTGTGTAAATGTATAAGAGATGTTAAAAATAACTGCACTTTCAGGAATATTTGCATTTGCCTCTAATTAGAAAGAAAACAGTTGTCTATGCCCTACAATGGCCAGTGAAGAATTACTAATTCCTTGTTTTCTAGGCATATATTAGAGATTGTAGATGGAACAGATTTGTTTACTATTTTAAAACTACCAATTTACTAACTTTTGTGTGTGTGTGTGAACAGTTAGGTTTGAGTCCAAGGCTACTTGGAGAACTATAAACATTCTTAGAAAAAGAAGAGGTCTACCCAAAATGAATGCAAAATTTGCTTGCACTCCATCACATTTGGATATTTTGGTTGTGAACTGTTACCAGTGTAGTAGAGAAGCTCAAATTCCTTTTTAGATCAAAACATTCTTCATGTAGGTAACCACAAGAAGCTAAGAGCCAACCAGTTGTTCATGCATACTGAGGGCGTCTGAAAACACTGGTAATTTTAAGAGTCTTTCTCAGGGTAACAATGTTTTCTTAATGAACAGTGTTTCAAGCTACAAGTTTCTTGCCAATAAATTCTTTCCTTTCAAAAAGTCTTATAAAAGAAATTTAGCATTTTCTCATTGTCCGATTCAGTCCATTTCAGTATTCAGAAAACATTTTAATCTCTGTGGTGTTGTGCTATGAAAATTATTTTTAAAATTCCCATTTGTGATAAATTTTTTTCTACTGAAGGTAAAAGGATAGGAAACAAGTCATTTTTCCTTGTATGCATGCAATATGTAAAAACATATTCATGTTTGCAGTTTCGGTTAAGCATAATAATGTGGTTATAATTTTTCAACTTTAATTCATTGTTTTATCTGAGTAAAATAGGCAGTGATCAGGCTATCTCCTAAGAGGTAATTCATTTCTTATTACCTTCCAGTGATCCTTGCACTCTAAATTTTCATCTTTGAGAAAGAGGGGAATATATTTAAATTGGGAGATAATCTTTGTTTTTAAAATAGAGTAACTTTTCACTATTGAAGCCATTTTTCCCAATTCAGAAAGAAGAAATAATGCCTCTACCATTTTCTACTGGTGACTTAAAAAAAATTGAAGTTTAGTTAAGAAGAAGTCACTTAGTATCTGAGAACTTGTATACCACGATCTGTGCAGCATTGTTATAGTCTGATTATTTCTATGTTTCAAATATGATTTTCTTAAATACTTTGAATAAAATTTTGTTAAAAATTAATTTTTCACTTAATATGCAATGAATAGTTACTGAACTTTTGAATATATTAAAAGTGAAAGTTATAAAAAAAGACCATGTTTTAAAATTCATTTTTGGTGGCAGGTTGTTTTGAAAATTTCCAATATTTGGTGAAGTATTTATATTAGTACTATTAAATGAAATAGTATAATGTTTCATTATTGTTCTTTTCAAAAATTATGTAATAGAAAAGCCACGTGTTACAAACATTAACTTATAGCATCAAAAAAGTTAATGTTCAATAAAATCTCCTTTTAAATTTCTCAACCAATAGGCACCAAATTAGCTTTAACTAAAGCATATGTCTTCTCTGTAAGAAAGGCAAATAAATATAAAAGTATATCCTATGTTCTTTATAATGTAGTATTAAGTTATTACTAAAAACTAATTAAAAGATAACAATTTTTTACCTCCAAAGTTAACTTTTTTAATATATGTACTATTTATAGTCATATTCTGTGAAAGAACAACCAAGAAAGGTCTTTGGGCCGAAAATGAGATAAACCAACTTATTTACTAAAAGCTATTGAATATCCAATTTGATGAATTTTCCTTCCAAAAAAAGAACTATAAATGACTCTAGGATGAGAAAATGCCAATTTTAATACAGTACTAATGTAGTTAAAGGGATAAAATAATTAGTTACTTTAACCTGAAAATTTTTTTTAAATCTTAACAAAACTAATTTGCCTATGGTTGTCATTTTGTGTGACATGTATTCATGAAGGAATTACTTGAAATAAAAGTAATTATTTTAGGGCAACCCTTTACCATTCTACTAAAGAGAAAGAGACATCATGGAGATATTTTTCACATAGTTCATCTTAATATTTGTTTCCTTATAACTTCGCCAAAATCACAAAAATAATATCCCCTGAAAACATCTTTTCAAAAAATGTACATCACTGTATGATATTAATTTATGAAGTTCTTTATTTCCCTGTAGCTTTTTAGTTATGTTGTCATTTCCTTCAAAAATTTTTAGTTTGGTCTGGTCTAAGCTGTTCTTCCTTAGGAATGTTGGATTTATCTTTCCCTGCAATTATATCTTGCTCTTAATAAATTGAAAATTCTGTGGAAAAGACCTTTTATTAGGAATTTTTTATAATCAGTGTTTTCATAACCTCTGCACTTTAAAAATTACATTCTTAATTAAAATACATTTATATTTAATGAAATCTAGATTCACTAGAATCTATTTAACTATTTTGTTTGGCTTATATAGATTTGCTGTTTGGGATACTTTTTCATATATTGTACATTCTTTTCACATTGAGTGCCTAGTCTCTTTTGAAGTAATGTTCTACATTAGCTTTCTACAGGTGATGTGGTAGCTAATATTACATGTGCCAGAAGAAAATGTTAAACCATGTGATTATTTGACAGTAACTGCTTAAAGGAGTTTGATCTGTCAGTACTTGTGAATATCTCTGTTGGAAACTACTGGACTGTCGTCATCTCTTGTCAGTAGAGGCTTACACATTTTGATATTTCTGCACATGGTTATCCAGAAGAATACCTTGCACATGAAAGGTGTTTAATAAATATCTTTGACCAAGTGAATTAAGAATCCTAAGGAATTGGAATGACTTGATTGTAAATTACTACATTTTTATAATATTATTTAAATGGATATTATTTCAAGATTATCACTAAGCAAGTAAGAGGAAAACATATTTGAAGTTAAAAGATTAGTAAATGTCAAGACTAGATAAGGAAAACTTGTGTTGCACTGATTTACATGAAAACATAGCTAATGTCATCAAAAAAGGTGTTCTTGTGGTTGGAGTCCGTGTCCATCATGCCTCCAGTATGATTTAATCTCATTCATTTTACATTATTTCATGTAGACAAATTTGAGATTTATCACAAATGGAACATATTAAAGTATAAATTAAAAAATTGTAAAGTCTGAACAGTAGGCCCATTAACGTAACAGGTAAAGGCCAAGCCAAGAAAACTGTTTACCTCATCTTCAGAGTATCTCCTTTCTGTTCTCTAATTGCAATACAGAGAACTCTAAGAAGTAAATTGTTTGAGGGACATTCTGTTGATAAGGTAATCTATATTATGTTTAATAGGAAATATTATTACTTAGACAAAAGCAGAGTCACAATTGAAAATTGTGGGCTAACCAGCAAGAATTTTGAGGAGTTTTATTAATAGCTAATACATAAAACATTTTGATTGATTAAAAAAGTCAAATTGACCAATTTTTTTAAGTGATCAACTCACAGTATTTTAGAATTTTGTACTTAAAAACATAAAAACTTAGGTGGATAATTTTAGTAAATTTTATTGAGCAGTCCTGTCCTAAAAATACTGATTTTTCCCAAGTTAAAGACTTTTAGCCGTGTGCCAGGGATAAATGAGGAATATGGCATCTCTTCAGACCAGTAATATTTACTCCATGTTAAGTAACTATATTAAATTTATATTAAAATAGTTACCAATGTATTGAGCAAAATTTTCATTAATTTTAAATATAAACCATAATACTTCAAAGCAGTTTTAATCTTGTAGTGGATCATTAGTTTTATCCTCCGTGCCACAAAACACTGAAAAATCTTCAGACACAGTATTGAATTTAATTATACTCCATAGAGGACATTTTTCTTAACTTTTTTGTCTTCTGGCTTGGAATTCAGACAGCACAATACATTTTCACTAAGCATTTTGTTTTATATATATTGAATTTCAGATGTATGCCATTTTAATGCAGTTTTATAATGGATATTTCTAGGTTTTTCAGAATCCTTGTAGTGAACCCTTGATAAATAAGTATTGGTTAAAAAAAATGGGGTAGGAATTTTCATTTGTAATTCATATCCATGTGCATTGATATACCCTTCTCTCCTGCCTAGTTGGAAGAGATATTTCTCTTTTGCTCTAGCCCTAATCTTTAGATTCCTTTCTTCCTTTCCACATAAAACAACTTTATCCATAATAACAATAAAAATGATCATGACTATAATCTATTGAGTGTTTACTGTGTTCTAGGTACTGTGCTAAACACTTTCACATACATGATTTCATTAAATCTTCCAAACCACATTATATAGCAGCTACTTTTGTTTTATAAATGAGGAAACTTATGCAATGAACTTAGGTACGTTTTCCAAAATGGCACAGCTATGTCTAAGAAATTGTGTGTCTAACCAGTTTGAGACCCAAATCAGGTCTCAACATCAGCTCTGGCTCAAACTCTTGTAATTGTATCAAATTTTTATCTTCCAATATCTCTACTGATACTTCCCTCACAATATGGAATGAACATTTTCAATGCTATCAGGTAGTGAAATGCTTCAATCCTTACAGAGAGGCATATATATATATATGTAATATATAATATATGATGTATATGACATGTATGTATATATGTAATATATATATATGATCAAGTATCTTAGTCTTCCATTTTCCAGCTTCTAATATATCTTCTATCCATGGCAATGTGAGTTTTACCCACAGCTCTCCCTACAATGTTCTTAATGACTCAACAAAGACCTTCATATTGTCCAAGAAATAGACATTTTTAATTGATCTTTAGAGCATTTATTAACTACTCCTTTATTTTCTCCATCTTTAGCTTCTGTGTAGCATTCTTCGTATTCTTGCTTCTTTTCTGTTCACATCTTGCTATGTTGGTATGTTTTGCAAACCCATCTTTCTGTACTTCACTACCCATTCTGTTTCCTACTTTCAGTAACCTTATTTACATTTGGGATGTCAGCTATATTCTTCTACTTATTCTTAATATCTATCTCAGCCTAAATGTCTGTGGCTCTCCAGGCACATGTATGCAGTCATGTACTAAACATATAATTTCATAGACTCCTCAAACTCAAGTCCAAATCAGAGTCCTAACTTACCCTCCAAATTGCTTTATTTCCTCTGTTCATGTGTATGTGAATGGTAGCACTCTTAGTTGATTACTCTTCCTCATATCCACATCCAATTAGTCTCTAAGTCCTGCCAGTTCCTCCCAGTATTTTATATAGCCATCCACTTATTTCATTTTGACTGCTTTTGCCTTATAAAATTCTTTACTATTTTCCCATGATTTCTTATCTGTTCTTTTTACCTCCTCTTGAAAGTTCTGGTTTGCTCCAGTATAAGTTTCAAATTTTTGCCAAAATGATCTCTTTATACTTGTGTTAGCATATCAGACCTGCCTTGTGATCTGGCAGCTTTCAACCTCTAGGCATTCATCATCTCAGCCACCCTGTATCTCCTGTTGTTTAAAACTATTTGCAAATAGCATAAAATGTGATTTTAAGAAATATTTCTACTTAGTTTTAAAACATGCCAATCTTAAAATATATTAATTATTGTTGAAGCAGTACTTGGTCACCTTGGTAGGTGCTGGTGACATATGTCTGCCATGAGAAGGGTTTTTCCCCATATTATGTATAAATCAGGCTTGGATTCAGGAGAGATCCTCAGAGTGGAGAAGCACGGACAGTGATTAACATCTACAGTGGACCCTCGAGTTACAACCAGCCTGACATATGAACAACTTGAGTGATGATAAGAATTTTAGTTTTAACTTAATGACCAGTGTCTTGAGTTACAACCCAAATACCAGCCGCTTGTGCTTCCAGATGGTCTAGATACAGAGTTAACCCTTAATTCTGGAAGGAACGTGACAACATCCTTTCCTCTGTGGGGTTGAGAAATCCTGGGCCAATGTCTAAGGACACTGAGGTCCACCTGGAAGAAAGTGTGGCCTAAAATTATACAGAAGAGACTTTGTAGGCTGTGTAGAGGAGCCTGAGCCTTCACTTGACCAACTTGAGTTACAACCAGCCCTCGAAAACAAATTGAGTTTGTAAGGCAAGGGTCCACTGTACTTGATTGAACTAGCTTTTCACATCATTGGTCACCCAGACAATATGTTGGAGATTAAAGGATCATGGCAGGTGGAGGGGAAGGCTGTCGATCTAGTTAGGAACTTGGTCTAGAGGGCTAGGCTAGGGCTAGGCTAAGTGATACAATATCACTAAATCACTCTTTAATCCAGAAGCAGGAATTTGCCATCTGAGCTTTGCTAGAACATAAAATAATCTATTATCCAGATGGAGGTACAAAATAGGATAGGAAATGTGAAGTACAGTGGTGAAATAAGCAGCTCCTTGCAAGCTATTCACCATCTTACTTGATGATTTTCTTTTCTTTGATGTGTCAGCAGAGTCAGAACAGAAGCAGCCTGGCTACCATCTGTGAGGCTCTAAGCAGTTCCCCCATGGCCTTCTGTCCTTAAAGTGAGGCTTACCAATTCACAAAGACTAGACTGTGCTTGTTATCATGCAGGACTCTTCCCATTCTGTGCTGTCTAATAACTGGATCCCAAGACTAGGTCATTGTGCGTTTAAAATGATCCAGAATTAAACTGGAGGAACCATCCCCTACTCCTCCCGAACCTTTTAAGAAATGAATCACTAGCCTGGGGGATTCCCCTGAAAGGCCAGAAATGACCCAACTTCACAGAGATGGGACTCATTTCCTAGTCCTATCATAAATTTCCAATGCGGTTATCAGCCAGCTCCCAACCCTAGACCTAAAACTCAGTGTTGCCAGGAGGCTCAAGGATTCCTTGAGAGAACTTTCTGCACCTATTGTCAGATGACTTTAGATGGGAAATGCTTTATATTCTGCCACTTTAAGAATTTTGAGTCAAAAATACCTACAACCTATCAATGGAAATACTTTGTAAGGTCCCAGGTTCTAGGTGAGAGGCAGATGTGGTAACTTTGAAAGAGTGAGAGATTTTGTATGTCCCAGAGAAAAGTTCACATTTCAACTCTGGAAGATATAGCTGCAACATCAATCTTGGAAACTGTGTAGTTTCTGAGAAGCAGTCAAGGGATGAGAATCTGGCATTCTAGGGCACTCAGAGATTCATCTTAGTTTTAGAAGCAACTACTGGAGCTGGGGATACACTTGAGCTTAGGATAGCCATAGAGTGAGAACCCTGGCTCATCTGGAATTGGTAACAAATGTAAGGTAAAGCTCAGCCATGGAAGCCTAAAACACATCAGGACACGTGGTTAGGTCATAGTTTCAGGATGGAAGAAAAACCACTTCAAGGAACTAGAGGGTTTGATAATTGTACTGTTGCCCTAGTTCTAGACAGTGGAAAGAGTCTAGTATTGGGATATGTTGTCCTAGGAACTTAGCTGCTGATTCTGCTGGGTTAACAAAAGGAGCAATGAGCCAAGACATGGCTCCTTGTGAGGCACAATAAAATAAATAAAAAAGAGACACGAAAAGTTATAATTTGAAAATTGTACTTAGAAAGAAAGAACGCTGCAGCTTCAGGACATAAACTTTCCTTTTCAGGAAACTCACTAAAAAACAATAAAAACAAGAGTCATAAGAACATAATAAGCCTATGAATTGGGCACTGGACCTGTGCTTTTCACCCGTAAATTGCCCTTCCTCATATAGACCTCTGTCCTCAAGGAAGCAGCAATGCTTGTGGGCAGCATATCTCAATTTCAAACATGGATAAATGGTTTGCATTCCAGCCTAGTCTGATAAGTAAGTAACCTGACAGACAAAAAGAATGCGAATTTGAGTCTAATTGTTTCTTGTAGGTTGGATAAAAATTGAAGCTACTTCATTGTTTGTTTATTTTTCTGGGTATATTTTGAAGATGCAATCTCAGTTCAGTAAGTAGAATGAACACTTCCATGTAAAAGTCAAGGATTCCAACTTCATCATTATAGATACTCTTACATCCTCTCTCTAGGAAAAGCACTAATTGCAGCTTCTTTCTTTCTCTCTTCTTTCTTCTTCAGGTAAAGTCTATTGAGGTCTGTTTCCTGTTCTGGGTGTGGAGGCTGGTCAGGGGCTTCATGAACAGCACCTACATGGCCATATCCTGGCTCTCTGTTCATGGCATTCTTGTAGTCCATGGTATCTTACCCTGGACATACATACAGATCTGCAGCTACTTCAACATATTTCTTAGTATCTGGCCAGTCTTTCTCTGGTTCTTCAAATTACTCAAGCAAGAGACAACACCAGTTCACTGCACCTGCCAACTACAGAATCATGTACTACTTCATCTGAGGGGCCAATTAAAGTCCTTTTCACTAGGATTTGAGGTGAGAGGCAGGTACCCCTCCTCTCTGTGTTTAATCTCTACTGAACTTTTATATCCACTATGGAGTGAGGGAATCAGAAGTCATATTACGTGTCTGGCTTCTTACTCTGTCACAATTATCTTTTTTCTTTCTTTTTTGGTGAGCTTCTTTCTGCTTGAATATCCCTTTCACCAGCAATAATGATCTTCAACTATAATAGGAAAGAGATTCTTCTCCAACCATAACAGAAATAGAAAATATAACATCAACTAAAAATTTGGAGGGCATATAAAAAGAAAAGTATTACTGGATTGAAATATACAGTTAGAAAACTAAATACAGAGACAACATTTTTGTGGACAATAAATAAATATCATAAATATCCCAATTCCTTACAGAGTACTAAAATAAATTTAATAAAACACTAAGTATAGCCTAACAATATATTTTGATTTTTTTCTTATTTTTCTAATTTTGACTA